TAAGATATGATCTTCTATGTCTACATGTTTTCTTCTCAACTACTTCTATTTAGTCTTATCTATTTTTTTTATTTTTTATGTTATTCTTGATATAGTTAATTGTTATACTTTTGCAAAGTAATTATATTACAAGTATATATTTTTCTTACAAAGATTTCTAAGGTTTTGTCTTTTTTTTTCAAAAGATTTTCTTATTTTTATAAACATAATTTTTTTGTAATACTTACAATGTAATATCAAATAAAGACTATTTTAAAGAAAAATATATAAATAGATTTATTTGAAACATAATAAAAAACTAATCAATTTGTTTATGAGAATTAGAAGTCATGATGAGATTGTTAAAGATTGTTACCTTCAATAAGCTAGATTAACCAAGGTTTCATTTGAATTAAAGTATATACTATAGTGATTATAGTGATCATAGTTTATCTATATTGTTGTCATGTTTAGTATGTGTTTGTTGCATGCATCTATCTTTATTTTCATTAAAAGTGATCATGACATGTCAAGTATAAGGATTTTGCGTATATCTATGTGATTAGACTCTCTTTTGGTTTTACCAAGGATAATGTTCTTGCAATCTTTGCCTAGTGAGTATTCTCTTACAATTCATATTATTGTTGAGTTCAAAATAAACTGGCTTGGGTTGCCTTTTGAATGAGTTGAAGTTTGAAAATTTTGAAATATCTATGGTATGATTGTACATTTAAGAAGTATGTTCTAAACCTTCAAAAATAGTTTATTTAATAGCATTATTATTACAAAATTTGTGTGTTAGAAATTCATTAGTTACTAATGTGTTTTAATTGTGGTATTGCAAATCTATATTATTGATATCAATGTCTAAGATAAATTTTGGTTCTTATTTATTCTTTCTCTTTGTTTTTTTAGCATTTTTTTTTTATTATTATTTTGTTAGGATTTTTATTAATAAGGTTGCAATTTAGGAGCATATAGGCCGAGCTGATGTAGAGTAGCAACATACATCCAGAGGTGTGCTACATTGAGTGGAATTTGAAGGCCCTAAACCACAATGACAAAGAGAAGTTGATTTAGTATTTAGTATTATTTTTGCTTTGTTAGGACTAATCAATAGATCAATCAATAGACATGTAGAATTTTGAAGGAGGATTTGGAAGAAGCTTAAATAGGATTGAAGTAGAAGGGGTTGGATTAGTATACAACAAAGATATGTGTGTAGGTGGGTGCACTAGAGAGGTGCAGGTGATTGGCTTGAGGCTGAGAAGTGTAGTTACATTTTGAAATCATAACATATGTTTTTTTGTACACATCCTGAAGTTAGAACTCTTCTATAGGTGATTAATCTAAATTCTGCAAATTTCTATAGTAAATTGTCAACAATGAGACAAATATCTTGGTACAGAAATGCAATCTGGACTTTTCATTTTGCTAACAAACTTGGTTTGTGCAAGTAGAAGCTGTGAACTGCATTGTGATCAAAATTAAAATGCACCACAAAATTTAGACAAACCAATGATGCAACTAAGTGAGAGCATTGATGAAACAATAATCCTGTTTCTAGCATTGTCTTAATTTTTTTTCTTTAAGTGATACTTCTAGGCATATTGCAATATTTTACCTACTTTCTTACAGCAAATGGAAAAAGATGTAGTGTATTGCACACTACAAAAAGTTTTGAAACTTTCCATGCAATGTTACACTGTGAAGAATATTTTGAACATCTCTTGATTTTGTTTAGTTTCATGTATCTTTGTAGTATCTGTTTAGTAGTTAACGATGAATCAAGAACCTAGACTAAATGAAATATACTGTGAAATTGTGATAATGAATTGTGATAATAAATGACAACAACTCAAAAATTTACATTTATGTGTGTGTATGTTAAATCAATTAAAGATGTCATTTATTTGTAACAAATTAAGTAAATAAATATATTTTTAAAAATAAAATATATACATGATAATAAATACAAATTATTAAAATTTAAAATTTATTTGAGTTTGAGATAAAAATCAAATTCTTCTCCTGATGCCATGTGAAATTGTCATTGATGCATGAAAATTGGGAAACATTTATCATACATCATGTGGTTGGTATTCTATATAATTGATAAAGTTAATACTTAAATATCAAATACTTAAATTTATGAAATGATGGAATTTCTTTGCAAGAATTATAAATGTATATTATGTATCAAATATGAAAAATTAAATGTTTGTGATATTTTCTAAAATATCATACAGTATTTTCATATATAGGTTTGAAAACCTATTGTAAAATCAACACGTATCTAAATCAGTTTGATATGCTTAAAAAGTCTAATTCCTGAAATTTAATTTTAAAATGTTTTCATTTTCAAAAAAAATAATATACAAGTGAATACTTCCGTGTTTCTGATAGAAAAAAATCTATCTTATTGATGCCAACAATGAAAGAAATAAAATGAGTTGTTAATAATTAACATATTTTTAGATCATCAATAATAACATGTTATTTATTGACAATATGTAAACAAACAAATAAAGCAGATTGGATTGTTTTACATGTGCAGTTAATTGTATGTTAAGCTCATGACCTGATTTGTAAAAGGTAAATTTTCTCCTATAATATTTCCTCAATCTACCAATTTTTTTTGTTTCTAGACTTTGTTATTATGTTAATGTAGAATTAGTTTTGAAGAACCTGTTCAAAATTTTCCTACTAACGTGCAAGGTAAAATGCTTAAGAAGTTGAGATATCAACAAACTGTATTTTCTGGAAATCAGTGTTAGAAATCCGTGACAATGGTTCAAGTTCAACTAGTCATATATTAAACTTACCCACAAAGTGTTACACATTAAGACCTATTTAGTCTACATCTAGATGTTATTTTAAGTACAATAATTGAACGGCACTGATATTAGTGCTGCTCAGTTATCTAGAGTGAAGTGGCAAAGTGTCTGTAACTTAAATCTGCACTATCCATGCACAAAATCCAGATTTTCATTACTGTGCAGAAAACCTCATGGCATAGACATTTTATTTTAATAGTTGATGTGGAGGAAATCAAGTAAAAGGAGCTTATTTTGTCAATACATATCCAAACTTTTCAAGTTCAGAATGTAACTTTTGACCCAAATGCTATTTAGAATGCACATTGAAAGGTACTGGCTCAACAAAAGGACTCACTTGATCGCTTTCATCAGGTTTTCAAACAAATGCCAAAAGATTTTTCATAGAGGTGGTAGCTAATATTGAACAAATTTTATGAAAAATGCATGACAATTATTTCTCAAATAAATCACAATTTTATATTATTTTTAAACTGTAGAGATGATTAAGAAATAGAATTCTAAACCGTCACTTCAATTATACAAAATTTAAATTATATCTTGGAACAAGCAATAAGATCACAGACTGTAAAAGACTTGCATAGGTGAAAATAAAACATAGGAATAATACAAAGAGGAAAATATGGCCTTGCAAGCAGTTTGCAAATGAGTTTCTAGGGCTCCAAAGCAAAGCAAGTACAATTGGACACTACAATTTGTCAAAAAAACAAAAAAAACAAAACAAAAAAATCATACTAGATCAAGACGGGTACAAAGAGAAGAAATCAAAGCCATGATGCTCATGTTATATTTTGAATTTGGTCAAGACTGATTCTGGATTATTTGGTACAAAAGTATAGAAACAAAGTATCCAGAATATCCAAAGTATTGAAGCAAATAAATGAAATTTTTACAATAGAAAATTTTTAAATAATTTTTTTTAATGAAATTAAATATACATAACTATAAAAAAAAGTCTTGGAATGCAATGGAATAGGCAATGAATTCTTTAAAAATATTTGAGATGTAATTAGTAAAACATTATTTCAATATGTTCAATGTTGCAACCTTAAAAGAAAAACTTCTTTCATGAATTGCAAAGCCCAAACGAATGTAATGTTTATGACCACAATAGACTGCCGGCATGTAGGGGGTGAATTCCATTTAATATTTATTTCATCTCCAAATTTTATAACTTTGTTGACCATCTACATTCTATCATATCTTTCTAAGAATGTAGCATTCGATTATGGTTTTGTCTTTATTTTATTAGTTTGCATCTTTTTGTAGAATTTTATAATATTCATATAATCTTCATCAAATATAATATAAAGTTTTACTATGTATTTTTTTATTTATTTATTGTTAAAACCAAACAATTCATGAATATACTCATGTAAAGAATGACTATAATACTTAATTTTTTAAAATTTTAGATGAAATTGTTTAGCTAAAGAATTGGATTTTAAGTCAGGATAGTCCAAATAATCCATATTTATGAACTTGTTACCAATTGTTTTTTTTCAAGTGAGATGGGTTATCTCTGTGTTTTCCTTGTTTGTAAACATGTCTACAATCTATGTATTACATATTCTTTGGCTTGATGGAAACACATGTAACAATGAAGTGATACATATGTATTATTTAATTATATTCATTTACGTACAGCTATTTGTTTTAGTTCCAAATCCATATAAGCATGGCTCTTATTTTGAATGCTCATAATTAATTGAATGCTGCTGTTCCATCTAGTCTAGACATTCGTTGAGATGTGCTAAAAGAGCAATTCAAAGACGTAGAATAACTTACGCCCATTGAGTTTTCATTCTTATTCCAGGGACGTTACTTTGAAAACCCAATGTAAAGGCAGATGTCTCATAACCAAAACAAATCTCGTCCAATATATCGTGGAATTTTTTTCTGAGTAAACTTCCTCCCTGCATCTGTTGCAACAGTGACAAAACGGTACCGCCGCCGTTGTTCACCAGCTTCTGATCGCCATTCCATTCGATCTAGAGCTGCTTCAACGTCAGCAACAAGAAAAAGTTTTCAACTGTTCAACAATATGAAACTTTTACAAGTGACAGAACTAGCTACAAGTAACAATGGTGTACCTCCAACATGAGGGCGGCGACAATAATATCAGTAGATAAGGACCCACCTATTGATGAGGCGGCTAACGACGTATTAGCCAGTCCAACTCACATCTACTTCTTATGTGGAGTAAACAAAAGGGTTTCAGTGTATGAATCTCCAAGAGTTTGGAAACCCACGTGCTTTGCTAATGGACGCCTTAGTCAGTGAAGAGTCCATGCTCATTGACGAGTTTGAGTAGAATATTGGTGAATCATGCTCTGAAATTCCTTACTGTTGATTCACACTCGAAAGCAGAAGAAGTTGTCTTGCAAAGAGAACCTTGACTATGGGAGCAACAAGATAGATTGGTTATTTCTCGACTAGTGTTTGAAATAGATCGCATCCCACTTGAACTTGGAAGAGTTCGACCAGAACACACCTGCAATTTCGACACCATGGAATCGGACGCAAGCAAGTGTAGAGACCACACCATGCCCGGCGATGGCGACTCTTTGAACTGGGCTTGCGCTGCAGAGGCAATGAAATGTTGTCATCTTGACGAGGTGAAGAGTTACATGAAAACGTATTACAAATCTGCCCAAATTGTCGTTGAGGGCAAGGATTTAACCGTAGCGCATGTTGCAGCCATCGCCCGCCGACCCGAGGTCCTCTTCAAGATGAACTCCAAGGTTGCGAAGAGCAAAGTGGACGAATGCTGTGACTGGCTGGACCGAAAGATAGAAGAGGGAAGAAGCATCCCTGGTGTGACCACCGGTTTCGGTGCAGCCTCTGCTCAGCGTACCAATCAAACCAGGGAGCTTCAAGAGGAACTAATAAGGTCAGTGTCTACAAGCTCGCATCCACAGCAAGAAGCAGCAGGCACAATCTTATTCTCTTCTTTGACTGAACTGGGTGGTTAAATTCTCTTGCAGGTTCTTGAATGCGGGAGTAATTGAAGAGGGCAACAAGCTCGCAGTGAGCACGACGCGGGCGGCCATCCTTGTTCGCATCAACACCCTCATGCAGGGGTACTCTGGCATTCGATGGGAGACTCTCGAAGCGATGGGCAAGCTCCTCAATTCCCATGTCACTCCAGAGCTGCCGCTTCGCGGCACCATCACAGCCTCCGGAGATCTCATGCCCTTGTCCTACATCGCTGGTTCGGACAATCACTTCTCATTTATCCCTCGCTTGCTGGATACCATTAGCACAGTCTGCGGTATTTATCTCATTTTGCAAGAGCTCAAATGCAAAACTGTAATTCATGTGCCACAGGTCTGCTCATAGCGCGCCCCAACTCCAAGGCCGTGACGAAAGAGGAAAAGACAATCTCTGCGGTGGAAGCTCTGAAGCTGGCAGGGATTGACAAGCCACTGGAGTTAGAGCCCAAGGAGGGCTTGGCCCTGGTGAATGGCACTACAGTAGGATCTGCCTTGGCATCCACCGTCTGCTTCGACGCCAACATTCTTGTAGTTATGGCAGAGGTGCTCTCTGCACTTTTCAGTGAAGTGATGCTTGGAAAGTTAGAATACACAGACCCTCTTACTCACAAGCTCAAGCATCACCCAGGCCAAATGGAGGCAGCATCAATAATGAAATGGGTTCTTGACGGGAGCTCATACATGAAGACGGCCGCCAAATTTCACGCACCCGATCCGTTGAAGAAGCCCAAACACGATCGTTATGCTCTTCGCACTTCACCCCAATGGCTTGGCCCTCAGGTACACTACATATTAACTAATGTCGCTTGGTAGCACCACAACAGCAAACCAGGGAATTTCTGTGTGCCAAAAGTTCCGAGCGATCCGGAATTGTCTCCTGTTTTGAGATACGCAAGAAGCTTTGGAAGATATAATCTGTTGCCAAACATTAATGCCTGGCTCGACGTAACAGGTGGAAGTAATTCGCAATGCGACTCATTCCATTCAGAGGGAGATAAATTCCGTGAATGACAATCCGCTAATTGATATGGCAGAAGATAGAGCAATCAGTGGGGGCAATTTCCAGGGCACTCCAATTGGGGTGTCCATGGACAACCTGCGTCTCGCCATCGCTGCCATCGGCAAGCTAATGTTTGCCCAGAACTCTGAGCTTGTCAACGAGTACTACAACGCCGGGCTCCCATCTAACCTAAGCGGCGGACCGAACCCCAGCCTTGACTACGGTCTCAAGGGCGCTGAAATCGCGATGGCCTCGTATCTCTCTGAGCTAAACCACTTAGCGAATCCGGTCACCACCCATGTCCAAAGTGCTGAGGGTCACAATCAGGACGTGAACTCTCTTGGATTCATATCCGCGCGCAAGACCGAGGAAGCGATAGTGGTCCTGAAGCTTATGAGCGCCACGTATCTGCTTGGCCTTTGCCAGGCCATTGATCTTCGGCATCTGGAAGAGACATTGCATGAAACCGTGAAAAATATTGTGAGACAAGTAGCAAGGAAGAACTTGCTCGATTATCCGGCTAGCGTCCCTCAGCTCCTTGAAACCGATCTGCTACGAGTTGTAGAGCATCAGCCTGTCTTCACCTACATCGACAATCCTTCCAGCCAAGCCTACCCTCTCATGGAAAAGCTTCGATTGATGTTACTTCACCATGCGCTACCAAACTCCGAAAGTGATGACTCAGTAGGGACATCTCTGTTTCGAAAGATAGCCTGCTTCGAAAAAGAGCTGACAACAAGGTTGACGTCGGAGGTTCCGCTTGCTCGAGAAGCTTATTACATGGGCGAAAGCAACGTTCAAAATAGGATCGAGGAGTGCAGAACATACCCACTCTACCGTTTCGTCCGCTCTGATCTTGACACCCAATTACTCTCTGGACACAGAACGGTAACTCCTGGCGAAGACATTGCAAAAGTGTACAGGGCCATTTGTAGCGGTAAACATGTAGATCCTCTGCTCCAGTGTTTAGACGGATGGACCTCTTCCCCTACCTCTCGTATTAAATAGTCCGGCATGCCTAGGTGAATTTTCAATCTTGACAGTGGCATGGAAGAAAGTCCGGAAAAATATAGTATTCATGAATGAGCTGTGTGCGATGCACAGAACCAGACTTCATAACCAATCACCATGACCAGAATTAAAAGGAGTGATGAAATATCTGAATAGATTTCCATCAGGATTAAGCCTAGGCACTGTACAAACTCAGCGTGTTGGAGATATCCATGATTGATTTGAATGTTGAAGGTCACGTTGACAATGAGAGTTGTTAACAGAGCTCTACTGGGAAAAATTATCTTACACGCTAGGCAAACAGTTTATTTACACCATATGTCTACTACCGTAAGGGACAGGGCGGTGTATAATCGTCTCTAACATGTTCAAAACGTGAATATACGTTGGAAAGCAGTAGTGGCAATAAGCGCATGGGAATTGCAACCTAAGTCGTGATACACACCTTCTTCACCCTGCCAATACCACATTACAACACTTCAGCAACGAAAGCGCGTCGTGAACCAATTGTATGTACTATATTCACATGGAAAATAAAATGAATGTCAAGCAAACAATAGACTAAAGAGTCATAGTTCAGTTTGGAGAGGCTCTGCGTAGACCACGAGCACATTACCTCGTTGGGAGTCCGTTGCATACGGTGCATGAGATGAGGTGTAGTGAGGAGCATCCTCCCCATGTGGGAACCTTGGCTGAACCTGCTAAGGGAAAAACGTCTGCAGTCGTAAAAAATGCATAGGATACTCAACAATAAAGAGCACAGTAGACCTCCTAAATGATTCGCGAACTGGGAGACTATTCGGCAGAACAGTGTAGATTTGATCCAGCAAGTGGTCATGAAAAAATAAAATAACACGCGATTACTGTTAGAGAAAATTATAGGGAGAGTCCTCTAATAGAAGATTATGGAGTACCTTGTGGTGTACATCATCACGATCCCAAGGAGCTTGATGCACCTTTGATAAATTCAGCTGCAGATTCCCAGCATTTGTTAGTCCACATCTTTTAGATAAAGAAGACTCACGACTTGAGATCTCAGCAGCTTTACCCACGAGCAATGATCCATCGAAACAAGACTAAAACAATATATTTCTTTAGAGCTTCCGGTTACGGGTGGTTAATTACAAAATTCGAAGAGAGGTTTGCAAGAAACAGAGTGAACGTGCGAAAATACATGCCTGCGTTGGACGATGGTCAACAGCATCACAAGTACCATAAGGAGTGCTGTGTCTGAGCTCATGGGATGGTAGAGACCCGTTGGAGGGACGCACTTGCTGTACAGCGGGGGATTCGAGTACCGGTACACTGCGCTGCAGTACTTCAACCACATTAAGATGAGGATTCAGAGCATCCACGAGAGGATACCCAAACAACTCCGTCATCATGCTACTCAAAACCTCTTTCTACATTAATACGTCGTTTTAAGGTCAGAGAGTGTTAGATGCTCGAATTTGCTAACAAATGCTAGGTCTAGAGAGTATATGCGGCACTCATCAAGGTGGAAACACAAATAGAGTTGTGCACCAACTCTTGACAAATGAAGAGGCAAGGAGGGTCACCTCACTTATGGCCCCACCCTGGTTGGGAATATTGTGGAAAGTGGCGAAAGGGGCAGTTCGCGAGTTGCAGGCGACGTAGGGAAGGGGGTCATGACCACGCGAGCTTTTGAATGCTGTCTGGTCCTGGCACCACGGTGCTTGACCCACGTCCGCTCGCTTCTCCCACTTCGGCAGATCATGCAGCGTTGCATAAGGCGCATTAGTCGACGACATATTGAACCTGTCTCGTCTGTCTTATCAACCCTGCAACAAACTCCCCATCCAGTATCAGAAAGATCAGCATCACTCCCCTTCACATCCATCACCACCTCAGAGAAAGCCAACACCACAACCACTCGACCAACCTCGACATCAGCACGCGAAAAACAATGCAGTCAGAAGACGAAATGCACCACAGAAAACAGTAAACCCCTACAGAAACCCGCCGGCAGCGGCAGATCTCCTCCCACAACCTAAACCAACACAACTTCACCACTAAAAACACATGAATTACGCAAACAAACACTTCAAGAAGCACGTGCACCAACAAGCGTTACACTCAACACCCTCAGCACAGAAAAGTGAAACGAACCACGACCACTTCAACGATAGATGGTGCTTCAACGACTAACCCGCTACGTCTGCTGCACCGAAACGCGACGATGAGCGGGCAAGACACGCAGGACGCAGTACGAAGATATCCAAATGCGTGAGAATGCGATCGAACTGAGGGGTGGGTGATGAAGGTCCGGTGCTGAAGAATCGCGCCGCAACTAGAAAAACAGAGCGAGCTCGAGGATACCAGGCCTGCTCCGCGGAGGCTGAAGTACTCGCTGCCCGCTGAGCCCCGTATGAACACGACAATATATCTGATATGTATCGTATCGTATATAATACGTATTTCGTATTGCATTTACGTATGTGTGAGAACTTTAACGATAACGGTCTTGTAAACGACCTGCGACCGTGAGTTGACACTTGGCTTGTCTCCCTCATAAAATCTAACTTTCAATAAAATAAATTCAAATTCAAAAATGATAAAGCTGTTTTTTATTATTAAATTCTCTTTACTGTTAAGTACACATTAATGTTGGTGAAATTTTATGATGTAAACGCACTTAAATATTTTGATTTCTTAGGAAAATAAAGAAATGGGAAATGGCTATAGTAATTTTGGACCAACATGAATTTATGTGTTTTGGTTCATATATATATATATATATATATATATATATTTCCAAAGTGCGTAAATAATTGGTGATCAAACTAGTATGATTTTGTAAGGAAAAGGAAAAAAAAAACAAACAAACAAACAAAGTGTGTTGTTGAGGACTTCTTTGGGTAAAAGAGATGAATCAATTCCATGTTGTAACATAGTTTGAGATTTTAAAAAATATTAATCAAGGTATTATTCAAGGATTTTATTTCTTTTACTCTATATCATTTTTTATTTTTTTATCATGTTTAATGAATCACCTCAATATTTTACATCGAATTTAACTACGATTTGATTATTTTTTACAACTATTTGTTTAAAGAAGTATGTATTCCACAATCTAAAAACATTTATTCATGTAAAATGAGTAATCACTACAACAACAAAATTGTCATCTTATTTACTCGTAGTTTATTTAAATACTAAACTTCATGAAAATGTAATTAACTTTTCTGTATTTTTGAAATAGTCCAATTGTTAGGTCGAAAGAAAAACATTAATTTATATTTTGCTTATTTCCAATATGTATGTGAACATGTACATGTATACACATAGCTTTGGACACTGATACCGAAACTGTTGCAAATCAATTTGAGTCTACTTCTATATATGAAGACTATGATTAAGGGCTATTGTTCAATCACTAGAATTTTACAGGATATGTTTCGTATCTAATGAAATACTTCGACTCAAAAAGAGTGGCATGAAAAACACTGTGATGAGAAACGTAATACTCTTCAACAATGTTTTAATATACATTACTCTCATAAGAGATTACTTTATGTGGTAAGATCTGAGAATATTTGCAATCAATATTACCACTTAAACAAAAAAGTTCACGCTTGACTTTCAAAATATTATCTTCCCTAGTGATTTTGCGGTGATTATTATTTGCTTCGTATTTTGATATCTCTGTTTCAGTTTGTAAGAGGAAGTTGAAAGGTGAATTATTTGCCCAGAAGACCAAATATCAACCCTTTCTAAAACACACCATTAACTCAAAACCTCATTTATTGATATGTGGATTATAAATAATAAACACATTGTAAATTAACGGTAGCTGTTCATTTTAGAATACCCAAGTGCAAATCTATCCCGGGAAAGATGTACGAAAATTTTCATGCACATTCATATTCAAAGAATGTTGAATAATATTTGCTTCCTCCCACATTATTTGATGAAGTATAGTTCCACAAAAAAAATATATTATATTGGCAAGTGTCATGAGATATTTATATGGGGCCTCCAAGCTTGTGACTGTTTCTTTTAGATTAAAAAAAAGGCTGTATATTTTCTTTTCTTATCTCATGTATTCGGTTATCAATCTTATTCTTCAAGTCAGAAGTATAATGAATTTGTCTCTTTATTTATGACTAAAAGTTTTCGGTTTTATTGTTGTGAGTTAGTGGTTGGAAACCATGAATGTGAATGTCGCCCTTAAAATATATGATAATAAAATAATTGTGATTTTTAAACTATGTATCATGTTCATTCTTAACCAAATGGAAATTGTCTCATCTTTAGTTTAAGAGTTAGCATGTTTATATCGAAGGAGAATAAAGTAATGTTCACATGATTTCTTATTTCTTATTTACTTAATTATTTATCATTGCATTTGGATTCTGCTTCATATATATATATATATATATATATATATATATTTGATCAATGTTCTTTTTTCTATCTTTATTTATTTGACAGAAAAATAAGCATACGCAATGCATTAATGTGGTGGTAAAAGTGCAAATATTTAAATATCATAAAATAATTCTACAGCATGCAATTATTTATACATGGCATGCAATCCAATCACAAGAAAGAAAATACTACTAACATGTTACTTTAATACTCAACTATTACATGTTATTAATTCTAAACCTGTATTTAGTTGTCTAATCACACTACTATTCATCATCTGTATTAACAGGTTTCTTGAAATAGTTTATAGTCATCCTTGGTGTGATAATGATCAGAAAAAAATATCTCCTTAAAAAAATCTTGTGTAAAGTCTAAATTTATAATTAACAGATAATACAGTTCCATTTGTATACAACCAGCGTACCAAATTAAATTTTACTAACATTGGCCAAGTAACTCAAAGAATTAAAAGTGTACTTTTGTGAAATTCTAAAAGAACAGAAAAGAAAATTCAAAGGTAATAAATCATTTGAATAGCATGTATTTGTAATATAATCTATTCTGAGGTAATACATTTTTTCCAAAAATTTTAAATTTAAGAATATGTGGCAACTGAATTTTAGAATTTTAATTGTAATACAGTTTAAATAATAAACACCTTTTTCTAAATAAATAAATTCCCCAACACTATATTATATTCTAGCCACAAATAGAATGTTTATTTAAATTCTGAAAATGGCATTAAGTTCAATGTTTGTGACTCAGTGATTTTAATTGTAAAATGTACTATACATGCAAAATCTTAACAGTAATAACTTAAATTCTTATTAAATTACAATGTATTCAAATTCTATTACAATTTGAATAAATTGTATGTAGAATTTTAGTAATGATACATAAAATATACATATATCTTTTATATTGAACCAATCCAGTATTTTAAACAAACTCAAACAAGCATGGATTCTCCACTGGTTTTTTAAAGATTAGAGTCAGAAGTAAAATTTGTGTCATTGTCCCACAATGGCACCACTAAACCAACATTTTATTTACAAATATTAATGTTTTTTCATCCTAGATTGAACTTCACATATAGACACTATTTAATAATAATAATTATAATAATAATCATAAAACATACACTTCTATCATTTCTTTATTTGCAATTAAACTTTAAGGTTGAGATCTCCAAAATAATTTAGTAGGATAAACTTGAGATTTGTTTTAAGACTTGCTTTGAAACTCATCCTATAAGAGTCATACCAACTCTTTTTTACTCTAAAATTTAATATGATTAAATATAGAATGGCAAGCTTGATTTGTGGTGGATGCAAAATAAATAATGTTCATGGATGAAAAGATCAACACATATCTAATACATGAAGATTAATAATTGTTAGCAGTACAATTTGAAAAGGAAAAAAGAAAACAAACAAACAAACCATCAAACAAACCATCAAACAATTGTTGAACTAAAGGAAAAAAATAATTTACAATGATTATAACTTATTATTTTTGCATTAGGCTTATCATGGTTTATTGCTTTTATAACTTTTTAACAAAACTTCTGCATCATTGCTTATGGTTTAGGTCTGAAATTACTAAAAATGATCTTGGGGTTGCAATGTTGAATAATATTTTAGAATTACTTCTCTGGTATTAAGGTTAAGTTAGAAACAAACATTATATCAAATTATATTACATTTTTTCTAATTATCATTTTAATTATAAAAACAAAAATAATTTTAAATTCATAATTTTTTTATAATAATTAATTCTAAACTATACATGGATTTCAGTTAATAAAATGGCTAAAACAAGCTTTAATTCCACATGGAACCTGTCAAATCGCTCCAATTTCAAAATAGAGGTTGAATTTGTATTAAATTTCACAGCACACAAGAAAATTACTGCACTAAATAATCAATTGTACACATAATTACAATTTTTTTTGAAGATGCGTGCAAATAAGCAACATACTTAACGCACAGTCCTTCATGATCTTCTACACTCCTCTAATACACTCTTCTAATATGCTTCTCTTGTATGCAACACATCCACTACTATCTTCACATTTTCCGCCCTTTTTTTTTTTTTTTTCTCTCATGGAGCTTGATACTGCTAGCACCTTTGTAAGCAGTGATACTTTGATTGCCTATGTGCGAAAGGTAGGCTTGGTTGTGAATTACGGAATTGTGATAAAATGTTCTAACACCTCTGCAATTGCATTGAACTGAGTTGTGACCTCAACACTTTGTTTTCATTAATTTAGCAATTAGTAAAGAATTGACCCATGTGCCCCACAACCTTACCAGCTCCCACCTCTACTGCACTTCTCCAACTTCGCACAATCACAGAACAAAAATAAAATTAAAAATAAACCATGAAAAAACTCAAAATCACAACTGCTGTACAAGTTGTGATTTGGAGTAGCAATGAAACAAAGAACCAGCCCTGTGCTCCACTACCTGAGTCACAAAAGGGTGGGGGCAGTAAACAAACACCCTATCCTACACTGGGTCACTAAACTCATAGCCCCACCCCTACTGCTCCCCTTCGAATCTCTGTCTGCAGCTAATTACCAGAAAATTCATAAAAATTGGAGATTACGATAATTGTAGAAGGCTAAAGCACCACAAATAGATGAATGAGTCAGTGCACAAAATGTATATTTTAACATACCAGGTTGATAGATGAAGATCCGGGAACACACAAGCAACAAATGGGGATTCGCGTCGCCGCTGTGTGGTCTCGCCATCGTCGCGGATTCCTCGTTCTGGATCCTCTTACATGCCGTGGCCCACGCACCATTTTCCTGTAGAGATCGCAGCTCCATTGGCTCGCTCGTGATAAACCCAAAGCCGCGTTCAAAGGGACTTCCGTCTGCACGCTAGTCGTCTTGCCTTTACCGACAAACGCTGCCGAGAATTGCCACAAACCGTGTGGAATCCGAGGTGGTACCTCCATCTGCCGCCTGCACACTCTCTCTCTCTCTCTCTCTCTCTCTCTCTCTGTCCCTGGTTTCGGGTTCGTCGTATATTTATTCCCCTGCTGCCTTCCTCCATCTTGTGCAGTTTGTTAGAACGTTGTCCTGCGGACATACAGTCTGAGCTTAGTGGAGGTGAATCGTGGTTTTTGGTGGTGAAGAGTTAGTGGGTTGCAGAGGATCGTCGTCGTCAGTGCAGAGTTGATTGCTTGAATTGGTGCCCCTGCTCCTTCCACAATGTCGGGCCCCGGGTTCTATTACTACAGTGATCCTAGGCCCTTTCACAGCTTCCAGCCGCTTCACTCTGATGGATCGCTTGATTACGTAAGTGTTTTTTTTTTTTTTTTTTTTTTTTTTTTTGTTGGTGTGTGTGTGACGAGTGGCTTTCGTTGAGCTTTGGTGCGGAGTTTCGGGCGTTCGTTCCTCGGGGTTGTGTTCTAGGAGAGGAATAATGTGTGTGTGTGGATTGTGAGTTTTTTTGGATGATTGATCGTGCGTTGTGTGCAGTGGTTCTATCCTAACAAGGATTTACTCAAGTACCCGATTGAGGAGCCCAAGAAGGACAATAAGAAGGATGACAAGAAGGACGACAAAAAAGACGCTGAGAAGAAAGACGGGAAGGATGACAAGAAGCCGAAGGTAGAATGACGCTCAGCTCTGAATGTGTCTGCAATTGTTGATGATGATTCGTGCAGACAGTGTTTCTGGGTAGGTTTGAATCACACATTCTTTAGGAGACTATCTCCTGAATCCTTAGTCATTGTTCCCTCAATCTGGGTTTTAACTTGACCTCACTCGATGATACAGACAATCGAATTAAAGGTACACCTATGCTGCGAAAAGTGTGCCCGCAAAATGAGCAAAAAACTCGAGAGTATGGATGGTGAGTACCCGAATCTCTCTCCTGAAAAGCACTCTCCTCTTGTCTGTTACGCCATTATCCCTCAACTAGCTCTTACTTGTACAGCGACAGTGTTTACAGAATAGATAGCACTCACTAGCCAAGGGAAACGTATCATCGCGAGAGAGAATTGCGTGCTGAACCATCACCTCTGGGGTATACGCAGGTGTGCAGAAGCCTGTGATTTGCGACCTGTACCTGACGAAGGTGACAGTGACAGGCACTGCGAAACCGGAGGCTGTCCTGAAGACCGCACAGAAGATGAAGAAGGACGCTGCGATGTGGCCCCAGAAGAAGTAAAAAACCCATGCTCCTGCGACACGATCTTGTAAAGACTTTTTGACATTTTGAACGAGAGTTTAGAATCAGATATTTAGTATTACAGGAGGCATGAGTGACAGCCATGCTCTCCCACTGCGCCGCACCTTGGCCTTTAGTCCGAAAGTCCTCGCTTGATGCATCGGCAAGTGCTGAAGCAAGCGAATCACAGAAGCTGCAGCGTAGCCATAAACACAGACCTAGCACAGTTGTACATAATTCAGCACTTTCAGAAAGCTTTTTCGATCAACTATTAATCTTTTTTCTTTTTCTTTTTTTTCCCTCTCTTTGTACAAAACTTCTTTCTCTCCCTACCCATGTAACTTAGCTAGCAGCAACAGATTCCTCATCCACGCCAACAGGAGATTTTCTAGATTTGCTCTACCTGCAATTCTATGCCACCACTCTGATTCTAAACCAGAACACGGCCGCAGATCCGACTGGTTTCCTACATAGATTGCTTCGTTTACTCCTGCACTAGCGACGCAACGCAGCCTGGTACACTGACTGAATCTGGACAGTATCTCTCGCAGCTTAGCATTGTCGTGCGCTATGGTGGATGACTAGCAGCGCCTGCCACTTGGATGCAGCTCCAAGGACATTTTCGGTGACAGCAGGTTTCGCTTTTTTTTTTTTCTCCTTTTTTCTTTTCATTTTGTTTCAGAGCTAGGCACAGGGTGGCGCCGCAGACTCATCTGCAGCGGTGCAAATCACGACGCAGGTTTCATGATTCCATGGGCTGTGTGTGTGTCCAGGCGCCGCCTGAAGGACACAGTGTGGAGAACTCATGAGAAACAAAAGCATGTTCTCTTGCTTGCAGATGTTGATGTGGTTGGTTAGAATCATATGCATGATTCCACTCGTTATAAATATAGTTCTCTTATCAACAAAGTGTATGAATAGAGGAACCCACATTCCCAATCACAACCCGGATTCCGGAAGCTGCTGATATTTTTTTATTATTTATATAATAGCAGTGATGATATTGAAAGGTCGTGTGTTTGTATGTTCCACAACAGATTCGGTGTTGCTGTGAGACCAGAACTTTTTTGATGAGTTCGAAGTTTGAGAACTGGCAATGGGAGTGTTTCTCGCATTCGTACGGCGAATTCTTAAGAATGGGTGCGACACATTTATTTTCTTATTACTTAATTGTTTTTATAAGTGTTTTTTTAAATTATTATTTCTAATTACACCATTTCCAACTTCTATACTGTGTACTATCTTTCGATATGGACCTGTTGTCTACTTGCCATAACTACATTTGACTAATTTTCTAAAAACTATTTTTTTGTATTAAAATCTATTATTATTAGTAGTAAAAGAAAGTCAATAGTATCAACACATCTGTGATGATAATATTCATGTTGGTGGAGTTAGAAGTGCTAATTCTAAGTACAAGATGACATAATTTAATGTAGTAATATACATAGGGGAATATCAAATTGACCCATCTAAAATTTAAGTCAATCCACCATGTAACTTCTAGTGTAATTCTATTTATTAAAATTGTATGTAGTATATAGCAAATGCTGATTATATGTACAAAAATTATGTATACACACCCTACATTAAGGTTCCAAGAGTATCAATGCTTCAAATCAAGCAACATATTAGCTTAGCTATTATTGCTCCAAGGCTCTTCATAGCCAACCTCAATTTCTATTGCAATAGATGGCTTTTTAACCTAAGTGATACATCCTTTAATTTAACTAAACAACTTTAGACTTCTTTTTACTAGACATATATACATATACATATATTATATGAAGTTTTGATAGATAGAATTGCATTAAAAGTCACATAATAAATTGATTATATATATATATATATATATATATATATATACACATATTAAATCAACTAGATAAAACTTGAATTGACCTGCATTTGCTCTTATTAACTTGTATTGTCTTCATTTGTTTTCTTTCTATTCAATTTTATACTTGATCCTTTCAGCACAATAAAACAAAGTATATTATTATTTCCAAATCTTAATGTAGATTATGATTATTTTATTTTGAGTAAGTCATTATACACATTAAAACCTTCAATTTAAACTAAAATTCATGCATGTTTTTTTTTAAAAAGTAGCATATAACAATCTAAGAAAATAAATAATTCACAAGAGTTTTTATTAAGATAAGGGCTGTAAAAATTGTATGTTGTTATACATGTGATGTGTGCAAATTATTGCTATGTATTATATTACTTAAAGAACTTACTCTAGTATTTCGAAGATTAATTGTAATATAGTACATAACAATGCCATGTTATGTGAAAATGAGCTAGGCATTTAGATATGAAAGAATTTGATTTAACCTTGAAGTTAAATTTTCAACCTAAAAAAAAATATATAAGGTATTTAAAAACACCATATTGGCAATCTTAAACAACTTTTTTAAACTTAGAAAAATCTTAGATATGTCTTATCAATCTAATCAATTCAAAATAAATCTTAAATAATTTTTCATAATCCTTAATAGTCCTAATTAAGTTCTAAAGATATCATAACTAATACAAAGAGACTCTAAAAGAATCCTAAAGAAATTTTAACTAGCCTCAAAGAAATCTTTAAAAAAAATTAAAGAAATCATTAAAAAAAATCCTTTAAATTCCTAAAGAAATTATTAAGAAACCTTAAAGAAATTTGAACAATATTGTAGAAAACCTTAAGAAACTCTAAATAAATTCTAATTAAATCTTAATCAAATTTTATTACAAATTTAAAGCTATAATTATTCTTATTAAATTAACTATTGATATTAATTAATTGATTTTAATTTTCAATATCATAATTGAAAATCAAATCAAAAACATAAAATTTGAAGAAAATTAAAATTACCAACTAAAAGAAAAAAAAGCATAATCCAATTAAATATTAGCTGTCATCCTTCTCCAATCTTAATATCAATCTTTTAGGATTAATATCTTCTTTTAGCATTATTCATTTGTTTTTAAAATCTTTACAAATATTGGAAATAAATTCAATTATTAATTTATAAAAAATCATCTTAATTAATTTGGTAAATTGCTCAAAATAATAAAAACCTATATTGACCCTCAAAATCTAATTTTTAAGACTCCAATCTACTTAAATTTTGATAAGCTTTGTTCTAATTGTTTAATTAAATTCAAATTTATAACTTATATCTAAGACAACTAAATTCACTAATTCACAAATTTTCACCAATTAATTTGCTACAAAATTTATAAATTTTCTAAAATATAAATCTTTTTTTATTCCATAAAAAAATGTAATCACTCAAAACTATCTTAACTTTGCAAAGCTCTTCTAAAGTTAAAATCCACTCAAATCACTCAAAATCAATGCTTGAAGAAAGTTTAAAAAGTTTTCTTATCAACTCTACTTGTTAACCAATAGAAGAAGCCCACACTTGCCAAAGGATGCAATCTTGTGCCTTAGGATCTAGTTTCAATCTTAGTTTATAACTAGGACTTTTTAAGTGTAAATTTATGGTTTTTCTAAATAATTCTTATTAAAAGCTATTCTTTACTTTTACCTAAAGATTCTTGTAATATTATTTTTGCTTATCTAATTTTTTCTTCTTGTTTATAGCCTTATAAAGTAAGTAAAAATATGTTTTACAAAAGACAATATTAACATTCAATATTTTATTATCTTCCTACCATTTATCTATATTTTTTATATTAATTCTCTACTCTATTTTCAATTAAGCTCTTTTATAATATAATCCTTTTTTCTTTCTTTCTTTCATCCAATAGCAATATAACAACACCATAATGATAAGAAGTATGTAGTTCAATTTAAGATTTTTTTTGAATAATTTAAATATTCTCGTATATATATATATATATATATATATATTAATATTCTAAAAGACTTTTATATTCTCCTCATTCTAATATTTACTTCTTTGTTTCTACAACAATCTCATCCACATTTATGATTACACAACTATTTATTAAGTTCTATCTTTATCATAGTTAAATTAAATAATCATCTATAAAAAGATATATTTTACATACTTCTTATCTTTTAAAAAAATTATTACATTTGTTATTGTATGTGATTTGTAAATGATTTGTGAATTATTTGATTAGAAGAAATAAGAAAATAATTAAACTTATTATAGATTGTATTTTTGTGTGTACGAGTAAAGAGCAAGAATATAGTTGTTTCTGAGTTTTTCAAAGTAGAAAGAAAAGGCATAAAATAATAATAAGAAGAAGAGATATGATAGATTTTTTTACTTCTATAATTGTGATAAGGGTAGATGCATACTTGTAGTAGATTATTTAATGTACAAAAGAAAAGACCAGAGTAGATTTGTGTCTTAACTATTAAGATAATAGTGAAAAAAAAAAAAAAAAAAAAAAAAAAAAACACAATAGACTTGACGTGGATTTTTTTGTCTAAGAAATAAACAAAAATACATTGGGATCTGAAATACATTGATTTATTTAGGATTACCAATATTTAGGATTTATTACGATTTTTTAAAACTTTCGTGGATTTTGAGTTGTTTAAGACTGTTAGGATTAATTAATAATTATTATAATTAGAATTATTCTAGAATTGTGATTTATAGAATTTATGATTTATTTTGAAATTTTTAAGATTAAGATTTATTTAAGAATAGTAAATTGTGGAAATATAAGGATTTGGGATGAATTAGGATTTGAGATGCAATAAGGTTTTATGAGTTTTAGGATTTAATAAGGGTAACTAAGATCCATGTCTTATTAGACTTAAAACTTACTTAGAAGTTTTAGGATTTAAAATTAATGAAGAAATTTTTTTAGTTAAATATCTAAAAAATATTTCTAATAGATTTAAATCTAAAAATTAATATGCATGTTAAAGTTTAATTTCATGACATTATAAAATCAAAGAAAATTGAAGAAACTTGTAACATACTAAAATTAAAATATAATGAGTCAAATTATTAAGACACATGCTAAATTAATTTTTATATAACAATCATATATAATATTTGAGTTGTGACTAGTTTGTAAATAAATAAGATCTTATAATACTTGTTTGATTGATATAAAAACTATAAATCATCCAAATTTCAAAATTATTTGATCATAACTATAATTGAATAAAATTAGAATTTATCTTTATACTATGTAGATATATTAACTTAAATTTATTAAAATTAAAATTATTATATTATATTAAAAATATATTTCTAATATATATATATATATATATATATATATATATATATATATATATATATATATATATATATATATATATAGATATAGATATAGACATCTTTGTTTATTC